CATCACATTTTCGCTCCGTTCCCTTAAAACAATCTTTAGTCGTTTTATCCCCATGGCCAGAGCACACTCGCCAGTGTTTAACCATCCCGGAATGAGCTCCGACCGAGTTAATAAACACTCAGCGCCCATCGATGTTTGCAGTTTGCTGATTTTTTGGATGCTTATTGACTTCCAAGAGGTAAATAAGTTGGAGTGATATAGGAGCGCCCGTTGCAGAGCGCGGTGACTTTTTGACGCATATTAGCCCGTGAACAGCCCACGCTAGTATCACGTACGTTATGCTTTATAAGAAAGTGTTTGCCTATGCAATTTGGTGACGCTAGGGAGCTAGACTCTTTGCAGGTGTTCTGAGTTCTGACGCGTTGAAAGGTAAGAAGTAACAAACAGTTATTCCATAAATTGCAACTGACAAAAATTGTAGCTCATCATGTCACAATGTATAAGGTTTTCAAAAAGTTCTTCTAATCTTATCGCGGCAAGCTTATGTCGTACATTTAATCCCTTTCTTCGCTTTTTGTGGGGACAAAATTGCAAAGTACGTTTACGTCTCAAAAAGGGTGTGAGTAAATTGAATTGCAATCAAGCACGGATGAAAGGGAGGGCAAATCTTTTTCATTACTACAGAGGCAGATAGTCCATAGTGTTTATTTCAACTGCGGAATTAAAATCTGCTAAAAAAACGAAGGACATCGTTTGTTTTAGCTGACACTTTACTAGGACCCAGTATAACCATAACATCTAAAAGTTGCAATGCTTGTCTGGGTCTGACTGTTTTTATAAGTCTGATATGTAAAATCGAGCTGTACATCAGGGGAAAAAAGGCGCCAGAGGTGCTATCATCCCCCGTTAGTGAAAAATAAAAACAGGACCCATTTGAGAGAAGAGAATAGGACTTATGATCATATATACACGCTAACTTTTAAACCTTCATATTGTTGCCACTTTTATACGCAGAGTTAAGTTTTATCTTTTAACTTCTCTTCTAGAGATAGTGACACCAGACTGCAGCCAAATGGCCCGCTTGTTGATATATCTGTTGCTGGGTTTCTGTATCTATGCATTCATCGATAACGCGAAGGCTGACGAGGACGAAAGTGGAGACGATGGGGATGAAGATGGAGATGAAGATGGAGATGAAGATGGTGAAGACGATGGTGAAGACGATGGTGTGACAGTAAACTTCAACTTCAACTTTCCCCCAGGCACTTGTGTGTCGGGTGATATGATTCTGGAGGAGCGAACCAAAGGTCTCGTTCGTGTCTCGGAACTTTCCAAAGGTGACTACATCCACGGAATCACGGGAGGCAAGCGGAAGCCAGCCTGGTGCAAAGTGGAAGCTCTCTTCCCTGCAGCAGGCGGCAAACATAAGGTCACCTATGACGGCTTCACTAAAGAACACATGGTAGTCGATTATAGTGTTCATCCGTATGGTAAGAGGGGAGAAGTGACCACGGGTCCTGTATATACGCTTGCTACCGACTGCGATGCCAATGTGAATTCAGCGGGCCAGGCCTTCTCGCCCATCAGCTCTGCGTTCTGTCCTCATGAACTGAGCTGGAGTGAGTATATCACCTTGATGTCAGCAGTACGCCGTGTCGCCAATCGCACTGGTTACTTCTGGTTTGACACTTCAGCATACCACGACAACGACACTGCAATGGTACCGCATTGGCTCGACCAGCTCCACCAAATATGCCGCGAGCTTTTGCTGTGCTCACGCCTAGATGAATGCCAGGGATTCGAGAATGTGATGAAAGAGTTCGTGCACGACCATGTCAACTCGAAGTACGCAAAGATCGTTGAGCGACAATTTCCCAACATGGGCGGTGATGTGAGCAAGCAACAAGCCGGTACCATCACTGAAGTGGTTCGTCCACAGGAAAGCAGTCACATAGTGCTGTTTTCCGTTTTTGGCAGTGCCATGGTGGCACTCCTGATCATCGCTGTCGCCGTTATTGCGTACCGAGTACGAATGAGGAAGACAAAGAAGGAGCTCCCTTTCAAGTCAGATGCTAACCATTCCACTGTGGTGGCTTAGGATGGAGAGTGGAGAAGGCATGACAGGTTCAAGTGGTCCATACTTTTTTTTGTTTAATTTCGCTTGCTAAGACTCAAATTAAGACTCAAAGAGGACTGCTTACTCAGTGTCCATGATAGTAAGCAGTATTCTATCCGCTATCAGCCGCTCGAAATTTTAAGGGAATAAAAATCATTCAAATGTTGTAATCATTATCGCTCTATAATAACGTTGTATTTAGGATAAATTTAACCATTGTTGGTATAAAGGCAATAAAACCATAAGTGTATAATTACTTTTCAATGAGTTATGTCGTTCCTGAACACTTATCTTGATGACGTTCGTCGTACAGATTTGTAAAATTAAATGTCATAAATGCACAATATTAATATACGAATATATGGTCTCGCTTTTTTATCACCTGCTCAGGTACTCAGGTGCACATATGTATCTCGAGGCAAAGATCGACTTCAAAAACCTCTTTCGGCATAACATTCCATGCATTAGCTCAGTTACAAATTTTAATGTCTTCGTTTTCAAATTGCTTTGTTTTGGTCACGGCTTTGCTTATTCTCGGTTTTGACAACTTGTGTGTTGCAAAGGTTCCGGGTCCTTTCTCATTTGTTCACTGTTCATTTGTATTATTTTTCTGCGCTGTTTGTTATACAGTTGAAGATGGCAATTTCTCAGCTGAACTAATTTGGCGGCGACGTTTAAAAGATTCATTTGATTTGCAATTCAAGTTGAGCCAGTGAGGGAGTTGTTGCAAGAACGCACGTATTAGCATTGCGTTCCCTACAAAAGAGAAGCTGCAACCTGCAACCTGCAGCCTGCAAAATATACCTGCCGCAAATGAAGGCGAACACGTAAGAAAGTAAAATCTTTCAATCACNAGGCACATTGAAGACTAAACGTTTTCAGAAGCTTCTGTCATTTTCAGACAATCTTTACGTGCGACCATCAGCAATAAAAAAAGCTACTCTAGTGAAATTTAGATCAGTTAAATGCACGCAATTCAACACAACTAAGTCTATTAAGCGAACCTTTGCACGTTCCTTGAGGTAGAATAGGCCTCAAAAAATTAGTACATATTAGCTCATATTAACCTTGCCCGTCCGTATTTGAAGAAAAACTTCGGTCACATGAGGGCAGAAAATGCGAAATGTTTGTAAGTTCTCACATACATGTAGTAGCAATGGGGGCGAATGTCCTTAAAAAGTACCCTCTAAAAAAGAAAATTATTTTCTAGACAATAAAAAAATTATGCTGCCCCGCGGTTAATGTTTAAAATTAACTAGCTATGCTGGCTAAGGTTTTCCAATAGGGCTAAGTTTATCCAAAAGATTATAGAGTTTGTTGCGGATTCCTTGTCAAACACCCTTCTCAACAAACAGAGCAAGCCTAAACAACAGTGTTTTTTGTTGTGCTATATGTTTTGGAGAGGGGTAGGATAAATAAAAATATCACTTGTTATAAAGAGTTGAATAAACTATATTGTCGTGCCAGATGTTGTTTCCCAGCATCTAGCAGGTAAATTGTTTTGGCGAGAAACCATCGACGTTAACTCACAAAGCCGGTTTACTAGAAGTAGAGGTCACTCATAAAATATAGCAATATGTGCTTCTTTGACTCGGCGGAAACTGAAATGAAAACCGTTGAAAACTAACATTACCAGATCATGCATCTTTGATGTCACGCTGGAGAGCAGTTCGAAGGGGAACAAAAACAAGTTCAAGTTAGCGAGGTTCGAGTTAGCGGAATTGGCGTTAAATTTTAATTATCATGTTAATAATTAATGAGCAATGTTCTTGTGTCATCTATTCACATTGACGAGTCAGTTTTAGTATTGTGTACCCGAATCACTTTACTAGACATTTACATTTGACACATTAGTGACTTATGTAGATGTTTCCAACTGACAGATGATAAATGCGTTTAGCATATCATTCGAGCCAAGGGAAAGTAGTAATTGCTGGAGTTAATTAACTGAGTTTGAATTTACAGATAGAAAATGGCTCTCCTAAAAGTGGATCAAATCCAAAGGAATCGGCTTTTGTTTCCGTCAGCGAGGATTTCGAGCTCAGCGAGTTGGTGTTAGCAGGGTTTCTCTGTAATAATATTATTCTTAGCCAAACTAATCCAGGATTAGCAATGTTTTTTGGATTACACCAGTGCACCTTTTTGTAATAGCTGGCGACGCCTTGAAGACACGAAAATGCTTGATTTGGTAATAAATATACAGTTAGGTTGGTTTTTAACGATTTTCGTTTCAGTTCCATTTCGATATATATGTTATGTACGCGGATGGGAAATAAATATTACATTTATTTTTTATTATTATTTTCTCTTTTTTTCAATGACAAAAACATTTTCAAAGAAATTATTGAAACAAAATATCATTGGACTCATGTTTGCCTTAGCTAGTGACGTCTCATCTCTTTGCATTATAAAAGGCAATCTTAATTTAATAGCGTTTTTAAAATTCATGCGTCCATACGTACATTCATCAAAAAACATCAGTAGTAAGAATTAAAGAACTGAAGACAATGATGCCTAAAGCCGGTTGAAGGAAAAACGTTACTTGAAAGGTATGTTTAGGCATCATGGTTTTCTGAACTTCAAATTTCGATCGACTGAGAACTCGGTAAACTGTAGCCAAGACTGACAAAGCAATATTATTGTAGCAATTCAACATGAATCAAATACAGAAATGTCCAATATCAAGAGATTATGTATGTCGTTTCTATCCTCTCTAACTTTAGTCATAATTACTTTAGTACTTCTTTAGTCCTTTCAATTTGCTCTAGTCATTGCTGAGTGTTGTTCCACAAACCTGAACTGCTTCATAAGTGCTTTACCTTTATATTATATAAAGAGCCTGTTTCAGGAAAAATGGTAACAAATGTATAATTTAATGGACAGAATTGTAAAAGATGACGAACTGGTTTTGTCTTCGCAAAAAGAGAGCCTTTTTCAAATTAAATTTTTTATTTTGTTAGGAATCCTTGCATCAGATAAATCAGTGCGTAAAAGCAAATAATTGTCCGTAAAGTTAGAATTCTATCTTGTTTTGTCAAGTCTTTATTTAGTTTGTTTGTTTTTTCGCATCCTTTTTACTGATTTTCAAAGAACTGTTTTCCAGTGATATTTCACACACTGAAAAGAGAGGCTTGCAATCCTAATATATCAGTAGTCTTGATTATTTTCTCGTGGCTTATTGACTTTCGTGATACAGCACAGCTTCAAGTCTATTGAAAGTGATCACATTTTGTTCAATACTTCCATGGTGGCCGTCCTAATAGTTCAACAATTAAAAATACATCATGCATATATTTTGATAAGACTATTCCTAATGCAAATAAAAAAACTTAATTGTTTTTATAATTCCCAACAACACCGAACTTTTTACGAGACTTCAAAAAAATTTCAAGTTACATCCTTCAGTAACTATAAATGAAGATCAAAGAAACAAATTGAAATATAACAAATAATATGTCCGCGCAATTCAATATATATTCCGATCCCATTATGACCTCCCTAAAAAGATTGGCTCACTAGATCATTACCTTATGTAGATATTATTATCTTTTTATTTTCCAGTTTTGAAGAAAAGGTTTTATTGCCTGGGGCAGAAAGATTTCTGATACGCATGTTTCATAACCTTTTCTTTCTTTTTTTTCTTTTCGTTAAAAAGAACTGAAAGAACTGATGACTGAATGCATCAAACATATCATAATAAAAATAACGGTCTCAAATGTCATTCGAGAAAATATATATTCCATTTGAATGTAATATCATGACACCAAACCGTGACAAAGAAATTATTGCTAAGATAAATAAATAATCCCACGCAAACCGGAATTGTAATGCCCATGAAAACTTTAAATTGAAAACAAGATCAGATAAAGATTAAATCCATCGTAATCATAAGCAAGCCCATGCAGATCTGCACGGCATGTTAAGACGATAGCCGTAAATTGAATTTAGTTATGGCTCAGATCAGGCTAGCAAAGTGTGTGAAACTAAATTAGGTCTTGATTTGTTCCATTGCTGTAGACGTCAGGGACATAACCAACGGATGTAAACAGCCCTTCGCTTAAAGATCGAGTTAAGTTTAATTACCAAATCGCAAGTGAGAAATGGAAACTGTTGAGCAAGACGAATACCGCTCTGTTGCCCTCCTGCTGCACGATTTCTTAGGATACACTTCAATGCATGGAGCAGGAAGGATTGTTGCTTCACGTCATCGGATTAGGAAAACCTTCTGGGTTATTTCTATACTGGCTTGCCTGGCCCTTGTCTCGTGGCAGGTTCATGATCTTCACGTGATTTACCGCAAACGTCCTCTGGCTACACACGTGCACATAGCTCATAACACGGTGAGTAATATATCAAACACGAAAGACCGTGTTTGATCACACTTCCAAACACCGAGACGAGAGTTGAAGATACGATGCGCAGCGGAGTATTTTTGACGAGCTTTGAGGTGTTTGGAAATGTGGTCAAACACTGCCGTGAGTGTTTGATATGACTTCTCAACTGAAGCGGAAACTATGGAGAAAACAGAGAAACAAAATCTTCAAAATCTATGCCGAATTAAAATTAGATATCCAAACACCGTCACGGTCATGATTTCCTTTGTCTAAACTTGATGAATTATTAATGAGTTTGAGAATGAATCATATTTCATGTTTTGCCTGTTTTTCTAGCTCTATTTGATTATTTACCTTTCGTTTAATATTTTCATCGCGTCACTCGACTGGTATGTTAGGCAACCAAACTTGTTGTTGAATTCGAATGTTAATATCATTTTGTATAGTTTTCTTTTCTTTTTATCTTGTAGGCTTTCGTTCCCTACTAATAACATACGCCCTCAGCCTCAGAGGGCGTTTTCAAAGTCAACGCCAATTAATTAAATTGTCATCAACGCAAAAATTGGCTCTCAAAAACGATGAGTGTTGCCCAAGTATCAATCAATAATTCTGATTGTCTTTTTGAGGCAAAAGATCACAGAAATTACTACATCCTCCAATTTTAATCTTCGGACGCATATTGCAACTAATACCCCTACCGCGGTATAGGGCAAGGGGCTGGGAGTGGAGGGTGTTGGACTGAATTCCCTCCTTCTGTTTTCTTTGTAATCAATATGGATAACATTTATCTAAAAGAAAGCTCTCATTTTTCGGGTCATAACCTCATCTGACCTCACATGACGTCATTAAGTTCGTCACCATATGCATTGATCCGCCATATTGGATATCCCTATGTTACATGTGTAACCAAGTCAGTAAATAACCTAAACTGACAGAAAACTCATCCCAGAAAATGACAGTGGAATGTAAAAGGGTACTATAGCTAATACTACAACGTTGATGTAGGAAAAAAGATGAAGTAGTTTATTTTGATCTCTATGTCAAGACAAGGTTCCCATGGTATTGTCAAATGACTACGGGAAACAGTTGACAATCAAATTTGTGGCGGGAAATCAATGACCAGCTTTTGTGAGCCTTCTTTTCAAAAATGTACTGATTATAAGGTTATACGTATAGTTAGACGATTACATGATAAATTACGGTGAATGTATCTCTGATCATTTTTTAGAGTCTACATTTTCCTGCCATAACAATCTGTGGCATGAATGCTTTGAGAGTTAATGAGGTGAACGAATCAGAATCTCTCAGAAGTGAATTTGTGATAAGATCTCTGTTAAACAGTAAGTTTCACTTTCTTCTGATAGTTGACACGATAGAAATTGCTCTGTGTTTTTACCTCCAATTTACCAGAAGATTTTTTGCAATTTACATTTCATATTACCAACTTGATTTTCAACATCAGGGTATCCTGGCCGGGATGAAGGTGATGGAGAAGACAATGATGTTTTGGTTCAATTAAACAATGCTCTGTCTATAACTGGTACTGTTATTACTTATATTTCTTTTTATATTCATATCTATATTTTTTTTTCTCTTTCCACCTCTTCTTTTCTTTATTTTTCCTACAACCGATTTAAAGCGTAATAATTCTTGTAACTACTCAGCTTGTTTAGTTTTTACTCTTTTGAGTAGTTTTTTTGCTTATTTAAGTTTAATGTATTCTTTGCTGTATGATATTCTCTGTATTATTATGCAAAATAAAATGGTGGTTGTTGTTGTTAAGACGAAAAGAACGGAGAAGACGAGGGTAGCGAAGACGACCAGGCTGAAGAACAAGATCAGCCTGATGGAGCAGATAAAGGTGATGGAGGAGATGAAAGTGATGAAGATGGTGAAGACGATGGTATAGGAGGAGAATTGGAAGCTGATTTTCTAGATAGGGAGCACCTGAAGACAATAATGGCGCAGCAAGATCCTGGCTTGCTGAGAGCATTGGGTCACCAATTTGAAGACTTTGTGGTTCATTGCACTTATCGCGGGGTGTACTGTGCGTATGTAAATTAACTTTGCCGATATTTTTCCACGATGTTTTGGTTCAAAATACTCAAAATTACCTACAATATCCTTTTGTTACTTTGCAACGTCTGCCCGCGATGAAAGCCTATAGAACGAGCCATATATGTGCATTAGAATATAACATATAAATATATAACAGAAATGCCGTAGTGTTGTAAGTGTTATCTCGAGTCATACTACTAGCTTAGCTCATGAAAACGCAAATTAATGCCAAATTGTCCCAGGGAGGTACTCCCTTATATGGGCTATATAGGTATGTGCGGCCCCAAAGGGTATGGTTTTTTTAGCAGTTTTGGTCATAAATGGGGTACCGATTTTGGTCATTTTGGTCATAAATTTGCAATCTAGTTTTCAAATTCGTCATTATCAATAAGACCATCAACAAGGGCCCTCATAAGTTATGTTTAGGACAACTGTACCAGCCGCAACGGTCATAAATAGGGCATCGAATATTTGGTCAGGTCATAAATAGGGTAGGGAAAAATTGCAAATTTTGGTCATAAATAGGGTAAAGGGTTTTGGAAAGCGTGCCGCACATCCCCACCCAATTTTTCTGGGAGTAACCCCCGGGGAAATCTTAACTGCAGTGATCTTGTTCCTCGTATAAATTTACTCACAAGTTACATGTATGAACCATTCTAGTGCATCGTCGTTTTCTGGGATGATTATCCCTTTGAATGTTTTCCTTAGGAATTATTCCAGTGAATTCTGGAGCCACTTTTGGCATTTTGCGTACGGGAACTGCTACGTTTTCAATGGAGGAACTACAGAAAGTAGATTGGACACTAAGGTTTTGAAATCAAGTGAGCCTGGTCCTTCATATGGTTAGTTGGACATTGCTTGATTTAGGAAATGACAAGCCTAAAGCAGTCAAACAATACTAAACGATCTCTTCAACTGATGTAACATTCAGGATTTGATACTTTTGGTTTAGCTTGAATGCAACCAAATTATCGCCCTTCTTCCCATAAAATCAAGCTAACCCTGTTCATTAGCTGCAACTTACCTTTGTACAAATTTTCCGACTTTCGTCTCGTGGCCCCAATCCATGTATTATGCACTACAGTTTATTATCTATGACCAAATATGCTTAAGCTTCTTTGTTAAATACTGTATGGCTGATTTGTTGGCAATACCATAGTGGAAAGTCCTAGTAAGACCAAAGTGCCGTCCTTAGCTCATTACTGAGTTCAGGGGACAGCTTACTTCCTTTGTTGTTTTCATTTCCCTTTTTATTATGTTGCATTTGTTATGTTGCATCTCTATCACCCTGCAAATTCAATAAACTTCAAATCCTAAGGTATAATTATTATGGCAAATAGCTTTCGTGGTCCTATGTTCAGCAACACAGTTATTGAAATCTAAGTCCACAACAGACTGTGCTTCAACAAACAAAATGGTCAAAATCTGCTGCCTATTATTAACTTACACATTCTGGTAGTCCCAATTACTTCCAGGTACCTCTTTTCCACTTTAAAATGACCGTCTTGTTTGTTTAATTGCATATCATTTTTAGGATTGAGTTTGGAGCTAAACATCGAACAAGAGCAATACATTGGAGCTTTGACGCCAGAAGCAGGAGTCAGAATTCACATCTCAAACCAAGGAGAAATGCCATTTCCTCTTGACAAGGGCTTAAGCCTTGCACCAGGATATGCAACATCGATTGGAATGCGAAAGGTTGGAACTATTTTACATTTACAGGTTTTTTAAAAGAATTAAGGTCTTCCGGCTCCAAGACTGACCCTGCTAAAGAGCACTAAGCAACGAAATTTCCAAGTTTTTCTGACCCTTACTAGAAAATACTTCGTTATCCTTAACAGAGAGCTCATTACTCGCTTCGTATCAATTAACCAAATGATTGAAATTGATGTTATATTTAATTAAGGTACATTAACTGTTATAAAGGCACGAAATAGCACGTGAACTCCCTATTAACAAGTATGATAACCAATCACGTACATAAATCAGTTGTGAACATAAAGAAGTTGGGAATAATGGGGCAGACTATCAGCTGTCAAGTTAATCACTCTCAAAGATGCAAAATCGGTCTCTTACGAGGCAAAATAGATATGTGTTCAACTTGACTACCTTCTTCATTCTTTATTCACTTTTGTATTTTTATTTTGATAGATAGGCTTTTATATGATAATATATTATTTATAATGTTTAAAACTTAAATTTGTGCATCGTCCTGATAATTGCAACTCTTTTTAGGTGTCCTCAATTAGCAGCAATACTGAACCTCATCGACACGTAAACAAAGTTATCATTATTATAATTGAAGTGTTTATAAATAACGTCGTGTTGTTTGTATTCTGCAAGGTTCTCATCGAAAGGAGGGATCCGTTTTCAGAGAATCTATGCGTGAGTGATTCTACATCTGATAAGTACAACATATATCAGCAGAAGATGAAAGTGAACTATTCCACTACTGTAAGTGGACTGTCCAATTACGGTCTTTACTGTATTAAACATGAATGTACAATGTGATAGTAACTCACTTGACCTCAACTCTGGAACCTAATATTCCCTCTTGAAAACGACGACACACTGTTATTGTTCAGTTCTTTATACGTCAACAGGCTAGCGACATTTTTAAAACCTATTTCACATTTTACATATTGAGGAGCCTTGACTTCCCTTGTTTGGGGATGTGGTAGGAAATCATGATAAAATGGCGCGTGTTCTTACTTCTCTCCGTGTCATCTAACTGATACTAACGGTTAAAAATGATTTCCAGTCCGCATTACGCACTTTCAGCAGTCAAGTAAATAAATAAAAATAAATAACGTATAGTTAAGCTTGGTAGTGTTTATAGCACAAAGGCTGGTAGGGCCGAGCAAACAACTGAAACAAGTAATTCGAATTGAACATAACATTGTTAAGAATCCCAACTGGCTGAGGGCAATCTAGTTGGCTATAGACGATGCTATCCGTTATGAACCATTATGAACCATTCGTTATTCGATGTTACTCGTTATGAATCTTACCTTCTTCTTACCTTACCTTCTTCTTATGACCTTACCTTCTCTCTTTGAGGCATTTGTAATTTTTCTTCCAACAGTTTATTCGATTTTCACAACTACGAACTGACATCAGAAGGAAAGAAGCATAAAGCTCCGCATACACAATGGCGTTTGAGTTGAAACCGTGACCAGGCCATTTCCGACTTACCTCGTGCCTTTGTTTCAAAACGAGTCCTCGTGAAAAATGAGTTTAATTTGCATGAAAATGAACCTGTAGGCAGATCTCGTTTTCATGTGAGTGGTTTCACACGAAGACTCGTTTTGACCTAACAGAGGCAAAAGCAACTCGAAAATGGCCTATGTAACTCATGTAAGTTGTCGCGAGGTGTTACATTTTGTGGCGTCTTACTTGAAGCCAAAAGCTCTCGAGAGTGCGCAGTAGTGTCTGGCAATCATTCTTAATAACGGTTAATTTATTTCTCTTAGGGTTAACGTACAAAAATTTTATTACCATCGTGGCTAAAATGTTTTTAGCGGTTAAAATTTTCCCATTTTTACGAACGCCTAACGGCCAAATTATTACTCCGTTTTACGGCTAATGGTTAACCCCATTGAGACATTAATGATATTTTTTCTATATTTAGGACCAAGAGCTCGGCAATACCTTGCACACACACGTCAAGACCACTTAGATAAATAACCCCGACAATAAGTGTCCGGTGTCAAGACGTACACTAATGGGGAAAACATTTACCATCCTGCTGCAGCAGTTAGGAAATAACTAGCCATACTTTAAAACAACCCAATAGCAACGAAACAAGATACTTCCGAAATGCCTTTTACCTTTGTGCGAAAACGAGTCTTCGTGCAAAACCATTGTTGTGAAATTGTGTTTCACCTGCACGTTCACTTTCAAGCGAATCAAACACATTTTCAACTGAAAGGTTTTACTCGAGCACTCCTGCACTCGTTTTGAAATAGAAGCACAGCGTAACACGGGAATGGCCAACTTGTTTTGAACACGGGCAAACCTCAGTCGCTAATACGTTTTGTGTTAACATTCCATATTGATGCATCAAAGAGTACGGTGTTCCATAAAACGAGCTATCGATTATTTTGGGAGTGTCCGGAAAATTGTTTTGATCATCCGTCTTTGATGACTACAAGACATCTTTTGTACTAGCTATTTTAAGTTTAATTACAGACACTGTTTACCCCCCAAGAAAGCATTCCAAAGGAAAGTCACAATACCTTTTTAACAAGGGTTTAGTTCTTATCTTTCCACTTTCCCCTGCAGGCATGCAAGAAATCTTGCTGGGCCTCAAATCAACGCGAATTTTGTGGATGCATGGAATATAAATTTCCAAGGCTGGAAGATACACCGGTCTGTAACATTACGAATAAGACAGTTGGTAAGCATTTTTTAATCAATTACATTTGTTTTTTTTTTTTCTGTTTAACACCATCGGGTGGATCGTAAAACAAATGATTGGTCCAGGGACAAAGAAAGTTTAGGAGTTTTGAAATGTTGTTTATGCGAAATCATTTTCACCTGCGTGTAAAAAGGCTTAGGATTTTTTTACAGAAATTTTCGACTCATCATCTAGCATACATGTTAATCGAGAAACATGTAGTTGGAATTTAACATACCATATCTTAAACTGGCCATTCTTGTCCACTCGCAGGACATTTTCTCAATATAATGGAATGCTATAAGATCGTGTTTGGTTTGTCTCATCTGAATTTCGAGGAATATTTTGAATTTGCAGAAGTCAATTCCGCCAGAGTCAAACATTCATATAAAGGTTTCTTTAAATCAACCAGAAGCAACTGGTATTTTTGTTTTTTTCATTCGTATGATTGGTGATTGGAACGGCCCACCTAAGTACATTATTGAAGAGGGAAGCCTCAAAATCTTTAATTAAATTAAGACTCAGATCATTTTTACTACTGCAATCTGCCAAATGTTGTTTTCATTCCTTGGTTCCTTTTCTAATCTTTCACTCGACATTACGTACGAATGGTAACTTATCCACTTGCAGCTAAGTGCCTCAAGGGAGTCAAAAGTAAGTTCAAAGCTGGAACCTTGAACTGTTCCAAGTCATGCCCACCGCCCTGCAGGTAGGAATAAGTGTATTTCTACAACATTTCTCTGTTTTGATTTGTTTTTGAAACTCGTTCAGTAAACCACATGCTTCTTTTTAGTAAGCCATGAATATCAACATCAGCTGCGTTTGTATCTAGGGAACCCTTTCCTTAAGCACCTAATGTGGACTTTTCATCACTTCAGGAAAAATTTTCCCCTGCAATTTTCTCAGTGATTTCCATTACTAAGAAATGAAAAACATGTACCGTGTTTCTATCGAGTTATAGAAACACGAGTGGAAGTCTGGGCGAACGAGAAATGCTGTGGGAACGCGAGTCGTAGTCGAGTGTTTCCACAGCTTTTTCGAGTTCTCCCAAACTTTCACGAGTGTTTCTATAACTCGATGGAAACACGGAGAACATCTTTTCTATTTCCTTTAGAAAACACCGCGACGAAAAAAAAGGGAAATAACTTGCTTACTTGATCATCAAAATGTAAATTCTCCTTGCTCGCGTCATCATTACGTCAACAGCTCGTGCTAGTTCTCTTTCTATAGAGTTATGGAAACACGGTTTTTAACCAATCAGCGCGCGTATTTTCTTAGAATTGTTTTCTAAAGTTATATAAAATATGATATCTAAATTGTATTCCCCTTAAAGCATTTGGCATGTCAAGTCACTGATGTCATGGCAATCATTTCAACGCATAAATTACATCCAGATCAGGGATATTGTTAGTTTGACGTTTTCTTGAACTTTCTTGCAGGGAAATCACTCTTAAGCTTTCTACGTCCTATTCCCTTTGGCCAACCAAAGCTTATGAGGTTTGTATAAGAAAAAGCTGTTGCACAACCAACAAATGACAGTAGATAGTAAATTTAATCATACATTATCATCTAAAAACACATTGAAATGCTAAAAACAATTGTGAAAAATCGAATGAGCTTAGTACACAATATGTTACGAGATATTGCATGTTCACAAACCACTGCGATATGAGGACCGGCGCTGATTTTTTCTTGTGTCGTTACATTTAGTTTGAGGACCGAGAGAAAATGGAATTTCTACCTCTCATTCATGCTACTATCTTTTGCTCACGTTTCAAATTCCGCTTCCAAAATGTAATGTGCATTTTTTCATTTTGTTTGATTAGGTTTGTTTTTGTTGATTTTTTCGATCTTTTTTGGTCGGTTGCACGAGTAGTCGCTAGTTCGGCATACTTTTACACGTTTATGTATACCAACGTTTCCGTAAATTTTACTTCTTGGGAGCAAGTTCACACAGAAGCATATGGTTCACAGTTGTTCTCATTATAACCGAAATCAGATTGGTCTGAACTGATCTATTTCGAGCCAAGCACCAATGGGATGCAACCAACTAACTATATACTTGGATACTGAAGTCAATTAGGACAAGCAGTTGAAAGTAGCATTATAATTAAATACAAAGACGCCATGCCTTAATTTAACGCTGCTAAGAATTTCTTTGAAGTAATACATGTGGTAACCAACTAGTCATTCATAAATCTCCTAAACTACGTACTAGGCGTTTTACATGGCGGAGCTGAAGAAACGGACTAAAGAAGTGGATGGTAGCGACAATTTCAGGTAATCTGTTGCTGTTGTTGTTGTTTTGCCGTTTTCAGATATGTTATAAAACAAGTAGAATTCCCATAGATACAGAAATATTTTAAATCAGAGTAAAATTATATCTCCACGTGACTATTTACCGTCCAATTTGGGAAACATTTTACAGATTACATTTCAGAAGGTTCCAAAAATAAGGAATCAAGAGTATTGAGTATATAATTTGTTAATTAGACTATGCATGTTTCATATCTCCAAATGTAAAGATACCATTTCACGAAGGAATCATGTTATACCTGATATTGTATCTTTGAGATGTGACGAGAAAACAAAATTTTCACAATTCAAAGATGATTTACCGTAAACTTTGTTCCCTTTTAGGGCCAATGTTCTCAAGGTGGACATATTTTTTGAAGAGCTGAATTACGAGGTGATTTCGGAAGAACCATCGTATGAGGCAAGTTACATCTTTTCGATAGGCCCATAACAAAAAAGATGCTTACAGGGTGATTTCCATCCGTTCTGACTCAAATCTGCCTCAAGTCCCTAAGGGACACTTATAAAAAAAAAACGTTATTTATGATATGTGATATTTATGCATGGCGCTTTATAACTTGACTGCAGAGTTAGTGGTCTTTCCACACAACATTGCGTTTAATTTTGAAAGGTGTTTTAAAGAAGGTATATTTATTTATATCTGAGCGATTATCCTTAGCTAGACTTGAGTTTTCAGTGCTAAATAACTTTGATTTTGACTGTGTGGCTGGGCACTGTTAAGTTGTTGAACATTGTTTGAGGGTTCAGTGTTTACATGGAACCCTGCTGGAAAGGCACATGCCACGTGCGTACGTGACGAGCAAATCTCCTCACCAGAGAGGGGGGAGCGGTGGTCAAAGCACTTGAGGTTCCTGGGACTGCCTTTGAGCCCTTTGAGCGAGCGTGTTTTTGTGAACACGGTCAGATATATCGACCCATTTCTGATGCTCTGTTTCATTATTAATTATTATTATTATTATTATTATTATTTTGCAGCTGGCAAATTTTGTTTCTGATCTTGGGGGATCGCTGGGTCTGTGGATAGGAATGTCTGTGTTGTCATTTGCAGAGCTTTTTGAGCTGCTTTTGCTCATATGTCTCAGTGTGGGAAGGAAACTGAAGAACGAAGGGAACACAAAGTCATCTACTATTCATGTTGAAGAGTTTAAGTACAGCTCATGAATATAGGTACCCCAAATGTCTGTAAATATACCGACTCGTTAAAAGTTACCATTTCTGCATGGACAAAAACCGTAATAAAAGTAAACACGCCCAAAAGACGAAGCCCTCAC